GGTACAAAGGAGGAGTTGAAGGTGGCGGGGAGAAGCGGGGGACGGTCTGTGGATCATTTTGTACCAGGCCGCAAAGAATGAATAATCGTGAAACTGGTCCCTGGTACAAAAAAGGTTGGGACCACTGCCCTAATCATCTTGGTTGCTCTTCTCTGCACTTTTTCTAAAGCCTCAACATCTTTTTTACATCGTGGTGACCAAAACCAGATACACTCTTCCACGTGTGGCCTTACCCAGGCATTATTGTAAAGTGGCATTATCGCTTCATGCGATCTTGATTCGATCTCCCTTTGTTAATGCAGCCTAGAAGCAGGTTGGCTGTTTTGAGAAGGGCTCACTTCCTTGTTGACTTTGTCCGACATCAGCGAAGAAGGTCGTAAGTGAGATCACCTGACTGCGGGACGCCGCGACGTCCAAATTGTGATCCAATTTCCATCACAGTCACGTAACTAAGGGGACATTGCGATGGCCACAACGGTGAGGCCATCCCATTGCCCACGCCTCTTTTTCGGCACTGTTGTATTTCTAAACAGTCGCTCAATGAGTGGACATTAAATGAGGACTACCTGTGGCAGTAGTGGGATTCGATTTTTTTTTACTACCAGTTCTGTGGGCATGGCTTGATGGGCGTGGTATGGCTTGGTGGGCGCGGCACGGAAGGATACTGTAAATCTCCATTACCACCACATTTCAAGGGGAAGGATACTGCAAAATCCCTGTTCCCTCCCCACCCCACTAGCCTGCTTTCCAGCTCCGTTCTCCTGTGTAGGGTAACCAAAGAAGACCCAGCCGATCAGCTGGGACTCGGGAGGCAGAGAATAGATGAGGGCGGAGCCAGTCAGAGGTGGTATTTTCCAGTTCTCTGAATTACTCAAAATTTCCGCTTCCGGTTCTCCAGAACTGGTCAGAACCTGCTGAATCCCCGCCTCTGACCTGTGATCTCCTTTGGCATCTCTCTAATATACTCAGCTTTGAGCCTCTAAACATGTACCCCAATAGTCTGACCTCAAAGAGCTTTAGAGGCCACACCTAAAAATTTGCAGGGTCCTTGTGTCCCTGATGGTTGAAAATTGTGTTTGTGTTTGCCGCCTATTTTAAACCGTTTTTGTCGAGTGTCCGAGGGGCTGATAGAGAGCAATGCCGTCCTTTCCTTTATAGGTATTGCCGGAGGAAGTGGCCACAATCTCCAGAATTAGCCAGGTTGAATCCGAGGCTGGGTGGAGGCTGCTGTATGTGGAGACCAAGAAGGAGAATGAGGACGCCAATGTTGACCACTTAGGTAAGGAGGCCTTCTCTTGTTTTCCTTACGGTCAAGTGGACAATCTGTATAAGCCCTACCCCCAAAATAAGCCCTAATTAAGACTCCGCCCCCTCCAGGGTACACGGGTTAAATTAAGGTAGGGTGGGGATGGAAGGTTGGAGCTGCCCTACTATTTACCTTAATATGGTTGCCGCTGGGCCTTGCACACTCTGACACCGGCCCATTTCTTCTGTGGCCAACAAGGCCACACAAGAAGTTCTTGAAGGCTTCGGACAACGAAAAGGAGGTCAGGGCCGACATGCACAAGTGAGGTGAGTCAGTGGATGACACACACACCCCTCCAAAAAATAAAAAATAAAACCTGGTGCCTTTTTGGGTGGCAAAAATATATAATTTTGGGGGAAAC